GTCTGTCTGTAACTGCAACAGAGCTCGGAGATATTTTGCGACAATCAGGCTCAGGCCATGCGTGAGTCAGAGGTCCGTGGTCCAACTTGCGCTCAAAGAATTTTTTAATGACAAATGTTATGATTGTATGTAACCTCTCTCTGACATCGGAATCTGCACCCCTGAGGCCAGTGGGTTATCGTGTCGTGTCAGTACCCTAATAATCACCGTACCCTATTCAAGATTACAGAACCTCATGACCTGATGAAGCGTTGCAAAATACCCGAAGAACGTCCAGCGGACCTCCCACATAAAAGTGCATGGAGAACGATTTTCACTGCAACAGATTCTTAATATGCCAAATGTAACAAAGACCTTTCAGGGAATCAGATTTTGAAAATGAGGTACCCGTTAAAGACTTTCGAAATTATCGTCCAGTGGGGGCTCTTAAATTTTTATTGTGGGGGGCTAGACAGAGGCCCATCTTACCCAAGGGTTACCTCAAACGGTTTTCGCCAGGGACACAAACATCGCTTTTCTTTTTTTCGGAACATCACGTACGACAGACAGACAGACATAATAGAACACGCTGCCAATAACTCATCCTTTTTTCACGTTGAAGCGCTATGCTTTGTGCCTGTCAGCAATCGACTGGGATTCTTCGAACAAAGAAACAAAAGTCCCACAGTCGTTCACGGAGGTGGCGCTTTTACCGACACTCACGTGACGGTCAGCGAGGAAAATCTCGTCTTCGCGTTCAGATCTGATATTTATTCTCGCTCAGCATCGAGCAAGGGGATTCGGAACAAACAGCAAGAATTGCTCGGTCCAGGGAAGTGAACAGACGATGGCGTGCGGCTGGGACAAACGTAGGTTTTAGTAACGTGCGTTTACGTAATTTGTGATCAAGCCTCCTTCCTAACTTTCCGGATTACTTCTGACTAAACAAGTTGCTGTGACTGACGGCTTCAATTTCAAGTTGAACAATAATTTATAGCAGGGCTAGAAAGACGCATTTTTACTATAAAGCTCTCAAGACTTCCTGTTTGTGCTTTCCTTCCGCTTTGAACACGGAAGATGGTATCCAGCATCCAAAAATATAGTAAGTATAATTCAGACCTGTTTAGGGTCTCCAGTTTTGTAGCGGAGCATTTTACAAGCGACTCCGAGTGAGTGGGTTCAGTATTCTGACTTCGCCATTGGACCTAACACTGAAATGCCACACCACCGCTGCGCTCTCTGGAGACGGACAAACTAACTAACTCCCTGGTAAGAGAACTCGCAGGTCCAACACCAGCTCCACCTTCACTATGCTGATGATGGAGGAAGTAAACTCCGCTATACGTTAGTCAGAGGGCCACCTGATTATCGTTGCTGTTACTCGGGAAACGTTTATGTTAAAAATGAAAAAGTCATCTCGTATAATTTGCCCAACACTCAAGACAGTCATTCATCAAACGATATGAGTTTTTCACGTAGATAGCTGCCTTTTGGGTTACAACTCCGTGCACTGTGGCAGAAATGTTCCTACTTCTATCATACTACACTGCGCTAAAACCCCGAATACCGTAGTCACCAATAATTCATTTCTCTAAGGTTATGAAAGTGATTGGATTCGTAACGTTCTATTACAAGAAAACATCATTTTTTCAACAATGGTAACAAATCAATTGTATTATCATTTGGTGTACTGTCCAGATGGGATTTGAGCTATTTGAATTGGTTCACGTGATAGACACTGGTTTCGAGTACTTTCATAGTAAGCCATTTAAGGGAAAGGTTTAATAATACTATGGTGACAAACAGGATAACTACCTGAAGGTTGTATGTGGTGATGATCAGGGCTGGGATTCATGTTGCAACTGTAAGTGATGCACATATTTGGGTAATTTATCACAATAAGAACTTGGGAAGTGAAACAATTAACCCAATTTACAGAATTTGTTAATCCATGTTATTTTTGCTGTCTCAAGTTCACATATGATTAAGCTAACACAAAGTCTGGAACAGAAAAACCTTTCACAAAATCGTTTTCAAATGAGGGAAAAATTAATTTTGGAATTTTCTAATCGAAAAAAAATCCGTTACCGAACCTATGCAAAAATTTGAGGTGTCTATCACAAATACATTATCATTATGTTCACTGGTGTAAAACATTTACTGTAGCCGAGCGAGGTTAAATTAATGGCACAAAAACAATCTTGAACAGAAAATTGGGGAAGATAAAATTAATTCCTTTCCTACATCTTTAAAAAAATTGCCAGCATCTTCAGGTAACACAGACAAAGAGTCTCAGATACCAAATGCACACCCAGCCTTTTTTTTTATTCAGTCGGTGTCGGTGGTGAGAGACATAAATGCAGGTAACCACTAATCGCCACCACCGCTTAAATCTTCTTTATAATATCGTGCTTATGAACAGCGGTAACTTTACCTTTCTTCGTATGAAACAAGGGTATGATTACTTACAGTGAACTGAAGAAGTTGCTATCCATGGACAATGAATAGACAACATTAGCCCTTCCAGCTGCACTGCTGAATGAAAAGACTTGAAAGCATAATTTCTTTATTAACTTAGCACAGATGATTTCACTTTGAAATCACAATACTGCAAGTAAAGATTTAACGACATGAAGACGATCGAAGAGTTGGCACACAAACACCCTAAGCCAGGCATATGCAACCTAAAACCCAAATATAACATTTTTTTTATTTAAATATCCGGTATATTATTTCTTTCACTACGATAAACTTGGGTTCAAAGGATCACATGGGAAGTAAGAATTCATGTAGGGGGTTTCCCCTATTGCATTTGAACATCTGATTACCAACGAAGCAGGCGAGATATATAATTTGGAAATACCCCACCTACATTTTCGAGTATGTAATTTAATAAATGACACACTCGTAACTGAAGAGAAAACATACGACATTTGCAACATGAAGTAACGACATCAAAGTCGCCCGATTACTTGACGAAAAAATACATCAGGTACCACATTAACACCGAACAGCACGAAACTGTCGTATGTAAAACACTATCATCCTAGGAATTAATTCGATTAAAGAGAAACTTATTACAAATTTTATAATTGTAATTTAAAACGGTGGGAACAGTAATTTAAAATTTATCTTGTGGTTTTTAACGCGGCCCACATTTTGAAAAGGTTGCACATACCTGCTAAGACCACAAAAGGGGAGAAACACAATTCACTTTGATTTCCAGCCTGTGATTCAGTAACGTCATTATACCGACTTTGAATTTTACAATAATCCAAGGTTCAAAAGTCCTTGAAGATAGAATCCAATGTCTGGCACAACAATGCATCTAACAGTAATTACATTGTAGGATTTGAGGTTTTCACAGCGGTGAGACTGAAGATTGCCGTCTTCTGGGTTGTTGCGCTGTGTAGTCCACATGACGCACCCCAGAAGACAGCATTACATTACATAAAAATAAACCGCTATGTTATCAAATGCAGTCGTGGAAAAACAATATAATTTCCATGTTGGAAAGCCATCTGATCTTCAATATCATTACTGCGTAACTTTTGGGAATAAAATTTTTGTAATATCTTTCACGTACAATTTTGGTGAAGCAGGTTTTATTAATTGCCGACCTGCAGATAATTTAAACATGATATTAATACATTACAGTTCATGCCTTTAACATTTTGTACTACAATTTCTGACTGGTTTATCCTGCACAGATAATTCTTAATATCTGAACACTTCATACAATTACTCAACCTTAAACGCATATTTTCAATTAAACTTGTTTGAGGTGATAAAATTAAGACTGACCTGAAAATCACATGACTTAAC